TTTTAGACTGCTATGTTTTCATTTTTATTTGTTTCCATGTATTTTTAAAAATTTCTTCTTTGATTTCCTGGTGGACCCATTCATTATTTTGTAGTATGTAATTTAACCTCCATGTATTTGTGGTCTTTCCAAATTTTTTTCTTGCGGTTGACTTCCAGTTTCATAGCACTGTGGTCAGAAAAGGTTCATGGTATGATTTCAATGTTTTTTATTTGTTGAGGCCTGATTTGTTACTTAGTATGTAATCTATTTTGGAGATTGTTCCATGTACAATTAAAAAAATGTGTATTCTGCTGTTTTAGGATGGAATGTTCTGAATATATCTGTTGAGTCCATCTGGTGTGTCCTTCAAAGCCACTGTTTCCCTGTTTTTCTGTTTGGATGATCTGTTCATTGATGTAAGTGCAATGTTAAAGTCCTCTTGTATTACTGTATTACCATCAATTAGTTTATTTTTGTTATTAACTGAATATATATTTGAATGCTCCCATGTTGAGTGCCTAAATATTTACAATTATTATATCTCTTGTTGGATTGTCCCCTTTATAATTATATAGTGTCACTTGTTATAGTTTTTGTTTTAAAGTCTATTTTGTCTAATATCAGTATTGCTACTCTAGCTTTCTTTTGGCATCCATTGTATGATAAATGTTTCTCCATTCCCTCACTTTCAATCTTCAGGTGGCTTTAGGTCTAAAATAAGTCTCTTATAGGCAGCATAAACATGCATCTTTTTTTTAATCCATTCTGTCACCCTTTGCCTTATTATTGGAGCATTTAGTCCATTTATATTCAGAGTAATTATTGATAGATATGTATTTATTGGTATTTTATTACTTGCTTTGTCATTGTTTTTGGAGATTTTCTCTATCCTTTCCTGTGTTTGTCATTTGTAGTCTCTCCTTTCCACTCGAAGAATCCCCTTTAGTATTTCTTGCAGGCCTGGATTGGTGGTCACAAACTCCTTTAGTTTTTGTGTGGGAAACACTTTCTCTCTCCTACTATTCTGAATGATAGCCTTGCTGGATAGAGTATTTTTGGCTGCAGATTTTCCCATTCAGCACTTTGAATATGTCATGTAACTCTTGGGAAGTTTCTGCTGAAAAATCTCTAGTTAGCCTTATGGGGTTTCCTTTGTATGTATGTTACTGTCTTTTTTTAATCTTGCTGCTTTTAAAATGTTTTCTTAATCACTATATTTTTGCAAATTTAATTACAATATGTGTTGGTGTTGGCCTGCTTTCATTGATTTTGTTGGGGTTCCTCTATTCCTCCTGTATCTGTAGTCTGTTTCCTTCTTCACACTAGGAAAGTTTTCAGCTGTGACTTCCTCAAATAAATTTCCTGACCCCTTTTCTCTTTCTCCTTCTTCTATAATACAAATGTTATTATATTTGATGGAGTCACTGGGTTCCCCACTTTTGTTCTCATATTCCATAATATGGAATGTTCAGCTTCATTATTTTACATTATTTTGTCTTTTATATCACTTATTCATCCTACTACTTCTTTTAGCCTTGTGTTGTTCATTGCAACCAGCCCATTTCTAATCTCAGTTATTGCATTTTTCCTTTCTGACTGATTCTTTTTTTAACTCTTGGGGTAAGAGCCTCCCTGAAGTCTTTCATTCTTTTCTCAAGCTCAGTGAGTAGCCTCATGATTGTTGCTTGCTTTAAGTTCTCCATCAGGTATGTTACTTGTATCTTTCTCACTTAGATCTCTAGCCATGGCCTTATACTGTTCTTTCATTTGGGATAAATTCCTCCATCTTTATATTTTGTCTAAGTCCTTGCCTTCTTCTCTGTGTTAGAAAAGCCAGATACGTCTCTTGCTTCTGAAAATAATGGCCTTACGGGGAAGAAGTCATATATAGTGCTCAGGGTCTGGTACTTCAGGGGATGTCTTTGATATGTGCTGCATGTTCTCTACTGTTGTGTTCTGGCTGCTCTATCCTTCAGGCTAATTTTCTGCAGAAGCTCTCCTTGACCTCTGTGGACAGTGTTTTGTCCCTGGCCTGAGTGTGGTGGTTAACTAATAACTACATTGATATTTTATTTTCATTTATTTTTATAGTGTTTATTCTGTGCTTAGATATAAAGGGATACACAGATAAGAATACACTTTCTTCCAAGTTACCCTTATATAGTTCAGGAAAAAAATGATGTTTGTGATAGACACACACACATACATATATATGTGAGCATAGGGAAAATGGTAAGACAAAAAGATAATATATGAACAAGTAATGAATCTAGGTATAAGCTATATGAAAATTCCTTCTGGATTTCCTTCAATTTCTCTGTAAATTTGAACTGATGGAAAATTTTTAAAAAATTAAAATCCTATTGTACAAAAAACTTCTACAATAATAAAAGCAACTAACAGAAAAATAAGCAAAGACTATAAATAGATAATTCATGGAGAAAATTAAAATAGCTAATAATATTAAAATATGCTTAGTTCTCATTAAATATAAATAACCCTCATTCAAGAAAAAAACATTTTTACTATGCATTTATTTTTATTTTTATTATAAAATATAAATTATTTTATATTTACATAAATAAATAATATAAGTAATGTATAATTTACCATTTAAACCATTTTTTTTCTTTTCTTTCTTTTTTAATTTTTTTTATTTCTTTTCAGTGTTCCAGAATTCATTGTTTATGCGTCACACCCAGTGCTCCATGCAATACGTGCACTCCATAATACCCACCACTAGGCTTCCCCAACCTCCCACACCCCCCCCCTCCTCGCTCCTCCAAAGCCCTCAGATTGTTTTTCAGAGTCCATAGTCTCTCATGGTTTGTCTCCCTCTCAAATTCCCCCAACTCCCTTCTCCTCTCCCCATGTCCTCCATGTTATTTCTTATGCTTCACAAATAAGTGAAACCATATGATAATTGACCCCCTCTGCTTGACTTATTTCACTTAGCATAATCTCTTCCAGTCCCATCCATGTTGATACAAAAGTTGGGTATTCATCCTTTCTGATGGAGGCATAATATTCCATATATACAATGGAATATTATGCCTCCATCAGAAAGGATGA